TGTACTTTTGTACACGGCTCACTCAATACATTTGATTGACTTGTTCTCGACATGCAACTTTTCAGCGTACGCTTGGCCATACAAACGCAGCGTGGAAAGAACGCACTTGCGATCAGAACGCTGGTGCGGGCTCAGGTTGGTCGACACCGATGGGCGCTCATTATTTGTTGGTGGCTCCGCAGTGCGCAATGCTTCGTGCGATTCGAGATGTGTATCTTCCGTTGAGACCCAGGACAAGCGCTGCCACCAGTGCACACGCGAAAAAACCTACGGAAGAGTCTTCCGCCTGCTCCTCCTCCTGCGAGTGCCGCGGTGCGGGTCACTTTGCCGACGGCCGCGCTTGCGCCCGCACTGACCGCCGCCGAAACCGAGGCGAACCAGCGGGCGACGAACAGCACGCCCCAGCAGCCTTCTCCTCCTCTTCCTCCTCCTCTTCCTCCTCCTCCTCCGCCTATCCTTGTTCACTACTCGAGTATACTGCCACTCTGCCACCTAGCCAGCCGATGGCGATCCAATCCGGGCCCATCCATCCTACGAAACAGCCAACAATAGCATAGCCCACACAACTGCGAATAAGAGTAACGGGGCGGCGGGGTTGTTGGCAATCTGCGAATCTCCGACAAATCCCGCCGCAGGCGACAATTTTTTTTCTACGCATTGCATAACGAGCCCGCCGCAGGCGCCGAATTACCGTCAAAGGAGGAAGTAGCTGGGTCGCGGATGGGTCGAGGGGTGGGTCGTGGGGTGGGTCGCGGGGTGGGTCGCGGGTGGGTCGCGGGTGAGTCGCGGGCGGGCCGCGGGCGAGGACGACGACAACAACAATCACTTGCATATCGCTCGCTTTCATACGCTCGCGTGTCAGTCAACATGTATCTCCCAAACCCTCGGTACCCGCCCTCTTCGTCTTCGATCGTGCCACTTTGGGGAAATTTCTCCCTTACCTGCCACGTGTACTCGGCGCAGCCGCTAACACCGTTTTTTGCTGTGGACCACTGCGTGTCCAGCTTCCGCCGAAATTGCCCAGCAGGTTAACCAACAAAGGGAGGGAGGTGGGAAGAGACAACGGGGAGGGAAAAGGATGGAACACGAGAGAAATTAGCAGGAGGGTGGTTGGGAGCAGGAGCGCAATCGGCAGAACCAATCGGGCGGGTCGGGCGGGCGGATTCTAACGGGCAGGTCGAGCGGGCGGGCCCAGACGGCCGGGTCGAGCGGACGGGTTGCTGATGTGTCAATCCAAAATGAATCGCTAGGAAATTTCGAATGATAGCGCGATTCTCGAATAAATCGTTAGGAAAACCAAGACGAGAACGTGATTCCTGATTGTCGAAGGCGCGGCGCTGCAATGCTTTGGAAGGAAGTACCACGCGACAGCGCGATTCCGGGATGAATTGTGCAAACGTGCCGAGAGACAGCGCGATTTTGATACCAATTGTGAAGAAGTATCAGGCGGGAGCCGTTGAATTTTCACTACTGACAAATTTCCATTGTTGATCCCCCCCTCCGGGGCACATGGTGTTTTTTCCATTGAAGTGCCCTTCCCGGGGCCCGCACCCTGTTATTTTATCAGGGTCTCAGAACTGTGTGTTGGCCCCTGCTTTACCACAACAGCGGCTCCCGCCTGATTATTCTCCACAATTTAAGCTAAACTCGAGCTCTCGCGCGGGATTTCGCCACAGTGTATGCGCGAATCGCGCTCTCGCGTGGGACTTCATCGCAATTTATTGAGACGCCGCGCCCTCGACACTTAATCAGGAATCGCGCTGTCGCTGCTGCCTCTCTCACGATCTACTTGGGAATCGTGCTATCCCTCGAGACATCCTCGCAATTCATTCAGGATCTACGCTTCAGCAACCCACCTTCTCGACCTGGCCGCTTGGGCCCGCCTTCCCGAACCGCCCGCTATGGTCTGCCCGTCCGATCTGCCCGTCTGGCTTTGCCACGTGTTTTCTGCTCCTCGGCCCCCCCCCCCTCCTACTAATTCCACCAGCCCTCTGGGCGTCGGTGGTTTAGGGCGTTTCCTCTTCCACCCCTCCCTCTTCCCCTTCGGGGAGGGGTTAACCCCTCCGCCTACCCCCTCCCCGTGGACCTGGACGGGAGGGGCGGGGAGGTGTCAGGGCGTCCAAAACGGCCTCGGCGAGGAGGCCAACATCATTTATTTTAGAATGGTTTTGGTCCCATGTTGGCCTCCTGAGGGGGCAACCCTAATTGAAGCTCCCCTCTTCTTTGATCGATGTCCTTCAAGATGGCCCCAAGAAGCGCCCAGGAGGCCCCAAGAGGCCCCAAGATGGCGCCAAGAGGCCCCAAGAGGCCCCCAGGAGGCCCCCAAAAGGATCCCACGCGGCCCAAAGTGGCCCCCCCGAGGCACCCAAGCCGCCGAAAAGCCCTTCAGGGCGACCCTCTTCTCGCCTGGGCGTCGTTTCTGGATGGGCTGGTGGGGATACGCGAAGCGTCTAAAATTTCTCTCGTGTTCCATCCTCCTCCTTCCCCCTTTCCATCCGTC